GGAGCGGGGCTCCATTGTTTGCCCCGGCCAGCAGCTGGGTTCTCTCCCCTGAACTAGGGTCAGGAATGTTCACAGCTGCAGACTCACCCTCCGCCCCCACCCACCCAGGGGGGAGCCAAGCGGGGGAGGGAGGCTGGGCCGGGCCTAGGGACAGAGCCTGTCCAGGGGAGGAGGGGGCAGGAAACACCCCCGGTTGTTTTTACACAGGAAAGCTGAGCCAGAGCTGGTATTTCAGCTCAGGGAGCCAAGCTCCAGCCCGGCCCCACCTGCTCAGAGTGCATGGAGAGGGCAGTCCTCACCGGGGAACAAAGGGCACCCAGGGGCCTGCAGTCGGCCAGGGCTCCCACTGCAGTGGTCTTTCTGGTCTTTCCCTTTCCAGAAGGCCTTGCTCTCTGGTGTTCCCTGGGCTGGAATAACCATCACCACTTTACTAGATGGGGAAACTGAGGCTCAGACTGGAACTGAGGGGCCTCCCCCTGCACCAGCTGCCAACGGGTTCAGTCTGATTTTAACAGCAGGCGTGCCCAGGACATCACTCCAGAGAATAAAACTTTTCTTTGTCTTTTCTCCCAACGTAGAAACAGCCTCTCTTAGATAGAGGGAAGGTGGAATAAAATAAAAACGTACGTGATCTCCCACCTAAAAGCACCACTTATCACTTTCTTAACTGCTTTTTCTACAAAACTGACTGCTGGGACTAATACACAACCCTGAGTCCTGGCATTTCATCACTGGAAGCAGAACCTTTCCCCATTTCCCTCACTGCCAGCAGGCCATGCAGGGCTGGGTATTTGGGAGTCCTCCCCCACCCCGCCCTGGCCTGGGCCACACATTCCTCATCCAATCCCCTCCCGATGGGCATTCCGGTTGTTTCCAGTTTCACTATTACATCTGTATGACAGTGAACAGCTTTGTTCTGCCACAGGCCTGTGGTGGTAGTGGTGGTAAGGACGCCACTGTCACAGTCCAAGAGCCTTCAGCCCAGACAGGCTCCACCAAGTAGAAATCGTTGAGCCACAAGAACCTCAGAAAACCCCAGGCACCCATCACCCGCCTTCATTCATTCATTCATTCATTCATTCATTCATTCATTCCCCATTCATTCATTCATTCATTCATCCCTCATTCAAACAGCTGTCACAGCCTACTTTGTGCCAGGCAACCGGACACCAAGAAGGAAGACCATGCCCT